TCGAACTCCTTTTCCTCCATAGTAGGTTTTCCTGATACGGATCAGAAACCATTATGTTCCCCAGTGAACCCCATAGAGGACAAAGGAGGACAATCGTTTCACAAAAGGAGTGAACCCTAGTTGTCTCACAGCATCCTCTTTATGAAGGAAACCTGACGATTACCGTCAGGACAACAAACCGCTGTCCGCTGTAAAATAAAGCGGACAGCAAAGGCGAGATTGACATTCTCCAAAAAATAGGGTTTTTGTTTGGCCCCTTCTATCTCATCGATCTTTTGGTGACGTCTTCAAAACGCTGCCAACCCCCCCGCCTCCCCACAAATGCAACGAGATACCTTTGCCTGGCCAAGTATCACGTTACAACTGATACATAGCAAGTGTATTCCACTACTGAGATGCAAATACATTTTTGAAATGTATTTCGATACAGAGATACAGATACTCAAAAGTGTTTCTGAGATAGTATTGCGATATATTTGTATCGCGAAACTGCCCAGCCCTGCGTCACTCCACTGGCTGGCGCGGATTGCATGGGACCTTAAAGTTCGGCATTTGGAAATTGTTTTTTACTTCACAAATACTAAATTCCCCAGTTTTGAATTTTGAGGTTAATGTCCGGGCATCGTTTTCAATCCTTTCAAACAATAAAAAAATATGATTTTGATGTGTCTGTGCCCCTTTAAGTTGCAGTATCGTGAGTGTTAGCATTGAGTATGGCATCCTCGTCGTGCGCCGACGCTACTCTAAAGCGTCATCTGACTCGCGATTCTTGTGCATGTGCAATCAATTTTGGGGATGAGAGTGGTCGCAGCAACTCAGAAGATGATGCTCATTCAGTGGATTTTAGTGTCGATTGTGGCAGTGGGTCAGACTAGCCGGGACTATCAACAGGTGTCTGTTGGTAGGTATTAGTTTGCGCATCGAGCACATTTATTGCCTCCGTGAGCTTCTGTCGACACACTGGTTGTGTTCCAAACATATTTTTCATCAGCAGGGTTTCAATCCCATATAGACACAATTTTATGCCATCAGCGGCAAAACAAGTAGAGTTTTCTTTGAAAACGTGGCCTGGTCCGGACCTCAGCATAACGCTACAGATTAACAGGATACGTTTTGGTCGGGGCATCGGGGAATGCAGAACAAAAAGTTTTCCACGAAGGCTTTTTCAAACTTGCAGGATTTGTCTCTAGGAGGGTAAGGTACAAAATGTATATTTTGAGTAGTTGCATTGAATTAAAAACAAAAAATTCTGTGTTGGTTATGCAAATTATGACATTAATTTCTTTTTGTTGGGATATGTAATAAAGATCTTGACATTTACAGTTTTCAAAAGAGAATTTGTTTAGTCACATTTATATGCATAGGAGCGAAATTTGCGGCTAATCAATTTTTTTTACTGAGACCACCCCATAGCATTTTTCTGCTGTAAGGAAAGAGTTAAAGGGTTTTTAAAGGGGTCTCCGAAATTGTCAATTTATGGTCATAACTCGATCTACGGATGCAGATCAATCTAATCTTGGGTATTGTAGAATGCTTAGAGCTCGAAGATTCAGTTAGGAGTATAAATAGACTATCTCAGAAAGCACTTCAGTGCTCCTCTAATTGTATGTATTGCCATAGCTGTTATATTTCTCATTCGGTGTGTTGGGAATATCAGAAAAACTGCCTCCTGTTGCAATACTGTATCTAGAAATCGACATTTCAGTTTCCTTTTTTAATTTGGCATATTTGTTTTTTTAGAGATAAATTTTATTAATTTTTTTATTAATAATTTTGTCCAATAAAGTTTTTCTTTTCTTTTTTTCTAAGAAACTCTATTCAATTTTATTAAAAAGAAGCTCAGTTCATCCCTAAAATTTTTTTTTGCTTATCTTTTTTTCAGCACTGAGCAAATATTTACAAATGCTTGTGTTTAATGCAATGCTGTCATGCGGAGTGTGCAACTACCACATGGAAGATGACAATCTTGAATCAATGCAATTGGGTTTAACCTTTTACAAGGCAAATTCTTAATAGCATTTTTTAAAAGGTTAGTGCACAGATGAGCTGTTGGTGGTTAAACATTTGTCTAAAAACCCCGAGACTAGGACGAGAGGGGACGGACATACACAGTCTCAAACTCAGCTGAAATTCGTTCGACAACGAAAGAGGTTTATATAGGCATTAAATCCTACACAAAACGCTAGAGACGAGAGAGAGAGAGAAACCCGTGCCACAAGCAGTACAACAAAGCAACCTTTACAAAAAAACTGAGAAGCAGTGACCTCCCTCATTCAATAAAAGCAATTTTCTTATTTTTTTTCAACAATGTCTACACCGGCAGTGCCCTTAAAAAACCCAAAAAGAAAGACGTTTCAAGGATCGCTAAAAACGTACAGACCGGACACTAGAAAAGGACGCAATAAACCAATCAAACTTCCTTTTCTAGTGTTTCGGCTTTCGCAAGAAAAGTGTGTTTTGAGTGATCCTTGAAACACCTTTTTTTTTGGGGGGTCTTTTGGGGGCACTGTCAGTGTAGACAATGTTGAAAAAAATAAGAAGAAAATTGTTTTTATTGTATAAAGGAGGTCACTGCTTCTCAGTTCTGTTGTAAAGGTTGCTTTGTTGCACTGCTTGTGGCACAGGGTTCCTTATTTCTCTCTCTCTCTCTCTCTCTCTCGTCTCTAGTGTTTTGTGTAGGATTTGATGCCTATATAAGCCCTTTCGTTGTTGAATAAATTTCAGCTGTGTTTCAAACAGGCGTTTGTCCGTCCTTTCTCGTCTCAGTCTCGGGGTTTTTCGTAGAATATTTAGCACTTTTTATCGTAGTAGTGTCTACAACAAAATATTCTTGAAACTGTCAAGGACAAGTACAGACGAGGCAAATATCAACACGTGTTGTTCTATCCAGGGATAACCTAACGAGAAACTTTGAATGGGACTGGGAATCTATGTCCGATTTACTTTATATGATCCTAATATATCCTCATATGTCATTTTCAAAGTTTCAATATATTAATGAATGCTCGTCCATTGTTTTCTGTTTGTAAGAGACAGGTTCAGGGGTGACTTTTCATCATTTATCACAGTTGCTCAATGCTTCCATTCTATATAATAGCCATGCATTCACACTTGAAACTGGCAAGATGCCGATGCAAAATTGTTCTGCAGCTGAACAGTCAGTCAGATTGGGGCGTCAAACTACAACTGGTAGCAGAACTCCTCGAAGCATTGCATACTTCGTGTTCCTCTGGCCGCATCATGTGAATCTCGTCACTCATCTTTATGGAAACTCTGAAACTGCAATAATACATTGAGAAGTTGCCGAACATTTCGTGCAGTGAAAACCATCCAAACCTTGTCTCCAAAAGGTTGGAAACTTGGCGCACAAAGCCCTGTCACAAAGGAAAATAAAAACAAAAAATCCCGGTTGATTTCCAGCAAGTAGGACAGTTTCCTCAGAAACCGCAAGATAGTCTCCTGGACGAGCAGAGAAGCCTCTGCCAAAGACACCCTGTCTTAATGGTCCTTTGTTGCTCTTCTGGCTAGAAACCTTTTGACTCAGTTTTCGGCATGCAATTGCTCCGTCACTCTCGCTGAATCGTGACTCATCTCGACGACTCTCTTAGCCTAGGAACATTGGCCACTGCCCTCATTGTTCGGGTGCGTTTCCGCAAAACACGGTGCAGGGCGGCGCCTACAGACAATTCCCTCCCTCTACGTTCCGGAAGAGACGCAGCCCTTGGGGAGCCTTTGCTCGTTGATGCGAGGCGACCTTGAGAAGTAAGATGACACCTTCGTAAAGTCGGCAGGCCGGCATGATGGTCAGTCGTGGCGATAGGTGCAAAGGCGGGACACTTCCCTCACTGCTTGGGAGGCAGGGTGACCCAAGGCCATTGCACGAAGGCTTTTGTGGCCACGCTTCTGTGTTACGTAACCTTGACCTTGTTTCATTGTTATGGAAGCAAGATTGTTGCGTGAAAGTTTACACAGCTGGAATTGTGTCTGCTTTGGTGGGTATCTGATGTCTCGGATGTAGACGAGCAATTTAACCAGTGTGATACAACCACTTACCTGGGGTATTTAACGTGCACCACGCAGTAGTACACGACCGCACGTTGGTACGATGCTCATTGAGATCGAAACAGGCAGGAGTGGGGATTGAACCCAGGATCCCTGGGTTCTGCAGTGCGAGCTTTTGCTCCACGTGCTCCAAGCTGGTGTGCGCTAGCCCACTCGGCCACCGATTTCCCTCATTGTTATGGACGAATCACATTACAGGCCATTTTTCTGAGGAACGGTGGTGTCCATATGAACCTTTTGGGGTCACGTGAATTTTGGCCTTGTTGACATCGTGAGTCAGAATTATTTTATGCTAAAGCAATGCAATCACTTAGTGGTCATAAAATGAGATTTAGCATCGAAGCATCCACGAAAACGACCAAAAATGCATGATCTTAGACTGTACATTAAGGAATTTTAGAATCTTGGTTTGCATCTGTGTAGGGTGTCCAGCTTTGAGAAATGGCAATGTTCACAAGGTTCTCCTCATTGTTCTCAACTGTAACAATCATTCTCCGAGGATTCATCGCAGAAACGTTCAGAGCCCCCTTTGGCGTTGTCTTCTTCGCTGAAGTAACCCTCATTGTCGCTTGAATTGGTAACATTCCTTCCGTAAAAAAGGCTCGGAGAAAAAGCCGCCAAGTTAAATGAGGCTCAAATGTGCGTGCGTAGTTCCGCTGGTCCAGAAAAAAAAAATGAAAAAGTCACGCCCTCTCGCGTAAAGCTGAAAAATTAAAGGCACCGTGCTTGAGCTTCTGACGATAGGTGCTGCAAGTTGAAATCGTCGGGGTGCTTGCGACAATTGACCGCAAAGCAGAGGCGATGCAGTCGGGCGAGGCTTGACGTCCGACCGCAACGGGAGTGTTTCTTCATTGGGTGACATCCGATACACGACCTGAAAGGGTTGTTGGATTACTACCGGACTCGGTGCTGCAACTAACAGCTTGGCTCCCGCGCAGCGTGTACCTGATCGACCACGCCTGGACCTGCCGTCCCCAGCAGGCGCGGCAGCAGCTGCGGGACATCCCCCGCCTGCTGCACCGCATGGCCCAGCTCATGGACCTGGATGAAACCCTGGACCCCGACACCCTGGTGGACGCCGTCTTCGCCAGCATGTGGCGCTACAACCAGACGTACAGCGTGTGCGGGCCCCTCACCACCACCGAGGACTCCGTGCCCGTCTGGTGGGTCCGGGGGTCGAGAGAAGGAGGACGGGCCTAACACGCTTGTTCAATCCGGCGACATTCCTCACTCTCATTACGGTGGCTGGAACACTTCTTGGAGTGGTGTTTAGCATCCTGCTACCCATGCGTCGAAAGTACTGTATTTGCACAATTCTAAACGCGCCCCAATTCTAACGCCCAGGCAGACTTAGCTTCCAGGTATTCCAAATGTAAATTGCTGCCAGTTCTACCGCGCACGTAAAATAATGAAGATTGAACATACACCTCATAGAACAGATTTTATGAAACGCGCACCAACGCAAAAATAAATACCGTGCACTAGTCTCCGTTGTCAGAGTCCAGTCATGGTTCTTTGCAGCGCACTCATACGCTTGTACGAGTGCGCAACCATTGCCTTTGGGAGGGTCATCTTCTAAACAACACTTCGCGGGCTCGACGGGTCAGTGGGATGGCGAGGCTATGCAGTGCTTCCCCGTTGTTATCTTTTTCCGCCAGTGTGAAGGTGAAGCCTCCTAGTGAAATTTCTTCTGTTTTTCCAATTTGGAACGGCAGACACGAACTTGTAAACGCGAGAGAATGCGCATGATGGGGGATACCAAAATGGCGAATGTAAACAAACGGTCACGATGGCGATGGGGCTAGCCAGCTTATACCAAGTATTGTGTTTTCCTGGAGTTTCGGTTTTTGGTTTGGATTGTCACACGCATGTAATTTTGGGCACCGATTTTGGCAAAAAAAAGTGTGCGTCAGAATCGTGCAAACATGGTAGTTCCCAAGTGGCAAAAAAATGACGTCGGAGAAGGTGGCGTGTCAGACGTCGTCATCCTGCCGGTCGGTGCTTCGAGCCCCAGCAAAAAGTGTAAGCTGATGAGAGTCGTTGCCGTCGTCATGGGGGTCCCAGCTCCTGGGGCTCCCGTCAGCTGCTGTACTGCAGAGTAGCCTGCACCAGAATAGGCATCTCCCGTGTCCATCACCGTCGCTACGCCGGGACCAATTACAATTTCAAAATGCCCAGGCTTTGCTCTTATATCTAAATTATCTCTAAATTCAAAATAATTTTATCAATAAATTCAAAATAGCTATAGAGAAAATGTCAAATGAAGGTTATGTCAAAACCTACGTTCAGCTTCCCACGCTCTTCAGTGAGGTAACGTCGCACGTCATATAACTTGCAGGTTGAGCAGGCAATCTAAAAAGTGTGGTGTCTTGCACATCTTTCTGCTGTAGTGAGCTTCTCCATCATTCATTTTGCACCATTGAACTTCCCGTAACCCGTCGGGCATGAGCTCCACTGCCCCCATGTTTCTACATCCGACGTCACATTTTCTGCGTTGCCAGTGGAAAAGAGTTTGGAGTTCAGATGCGTCTAATAATGTGTGGGACCTGTTTTGGGGAAAATCGGTGACAACAAGAATCTTTCTGTATCTTTCAAAAACGGACGTAGAAAGGATAGGACAAGACAAAGCAGTCGTTTTTGTCTTGTCCCGCACTTTCTTTGTCCGTTTCTGTAAGTTCAAGCTGAGCCACCGCCAGTATGTACTGACTAGCTCAACTGAAGCCTGTAACCAACTCCCATTTAAACTGGAGAACTACGTTACCCTAGGGTACCAAAGGTCGAAAAACCCAGTTTGAGCACTCGCACGGTAAACTGCCCAGCCCATTGGTCCATCTTGTCGTATCAATAGGGAAAACGAGCACGTCGGGGTTCAAGCTGCGTCATCATTTGCCCGTCGTAGAAACGACTACCTTGTCTTCAGCGGCTCGCAGAGATCATCCGGTTCTTTACAAACAAAGACAGCCTTCGAGAAAGGAGAGACGAAATACTCTGTGATGGGTTGAAATGGGTCGACCTACACGAGTGTAGGTCGACCCATTTTGCAATTTTTGAAAATCTGAAGGTGCAGGGGGTCGACTTTTAATGGAACTAAAGCATTCCATTGCCGACAAAAACGAAACAATCGCGATATCATGAACACCTCGGCTTGTTACGAGTTCGACCGCCTGTACCTGTAGCATTGCGCTACTCTGTGCACTCATTTTACAAATACTCTTTTTTTTTTATTTGTGCGAACGAGTATTGTTGATAGTGATTTGCAAATTAACCCGAATGCACGGCGGTGAAAAGTGCTTGGCGCGCCCGACTCCTGGGGGTGGCGGCACTTCTTGTAAGATCCACTCCGGAGGCCGCTGGAACAGCCTCACAGCTCACTCCCCACGGCTTCTTTTCCCAGTTTTTCTCACGATCTACAACCACACGTCGTTTCATCGAGTGTCGAGATCATGCTGGAGCGCCAACTACGTTTTTTTGTATTGACACGTGCAATTCGGGCAGTTTAGATTTTCGGTGCTCATTTATGGCCATTCTTCGCCCAGAAGCAACCAGCAACTCTGTTGTTGGATGCAAGTTCAACTTGTCAGAGCGGGTGATGCTCCTGTGGAGTCTGTGGTGGCGCGAGATCTTAAACTGCGACAGCAAACAAAGAGGCTTCCGCAGGTCAAAGTCTGGATAGGTGGGGGGATGCCTTGCGGAGTCAGAGGTCAGGCTTGCAACGTACGTCAACATGACAGCATCTTCTGAGCAGTTTGCATGACAGCATCAACTGCATCTTCCGAGCAAGCGCGGAAGATGCAGTTGATGCTGTCATTTGCGAAGTGCAAGATTTTATTGATGACGACAGGACTGACATGACTAGCACGGACAAGTCGTAGTCTAGTCGCGAACGGAGTGAGAATGAGAGGGAGCAGTTTGAGTTGTCCTGCTTCCAGCATGAACTTCCTAATTTTGATAACGCCTGGGCATCTCATTCACCTCATGCACGCCAGAAGACATAGATTGCGGGTTGGAGGCGTGGCTTTTGAAAGAGGTACTTTGCCATTCTCACGTGTTTACAGAAAAATGTGTATCTAAAGATTTTTTTTTTCTTTTTTTACTGATGTGCAATGGGGGGGGTCGACTTACAATCGTGTAAATACGGTACATCGTTTTTGTCAGCTAGCAACTGCCAGACACTCCGTGACGAAGAGAACAGTTCGTAGCTGACGAGATTGGCATTCATTTATATCGAAAAGTTTTAGAACCCCGGCTTTACTGCATGCATCCCTGCTTGGACAGTCTGGTGCACGGGCGATGTTACTCGTGTGCCAATTTCTGCACTTGTACATTTATGTGTGCTGGGTAGAGAGGGGATCCAGATGGCCCACAAGCCAATATCATTTATATGAATAAGCAAACAACAACTCAAGATTATTTTATCCCCTTGTAGTAAACGATTAATGAGGTAGAATCACGGTAAACTTTTTGAAGAGTTCGCATCTCACAATAATTGCTTCAAATTTTTTTTCTTCTCCCGAGCCATTCATGAGTGGAATCATTTATGCGAACCGTCATACATTCTACTGCCCTAGAATCATTTTAAAGAACTGAGAGGCGCACCTGTCGACGTAAACTAACTTATGACTTTTGTCAAGAGTGTGTAGCAAATCTTCCATCATATTGTATCGTGTTTTTTATGTACCACCCTACGGAAATCCCGAATGGGATTAGTATAATTGTAAATAAAATCATATAAAAAATGAAAACACTCTTGGATGGCTTATGCCACGACCAAAAAATTGTCCCCCCTAAAGAGATGCAATATCTTTATAGAATTCATATTAGCGGAAAACGAACGCAAGGACAAGGACAGAGTAGTAGGCGGTAGACACACACAGCGCTGACTTACAACTGAGCTTTATTGGCACTGACAACCTGTATAAATACACAATTTGCCCGGCCCAAAAGCCAAGAAAAGAAACAACACAATAGGAGGACTACACTTGTTCCTAGAGTCATCTGCAGGCGCCGTTGTCCTCCGATCTGAGTAGAAAAATACACACCCTTTCCGTCAGGGCAAGTGACGGGGCACTAACACACTCAGAGCCCGATTGTCCAATGGCGCGGGCTTCTATAATCTCACATGTCAGTTTATCTTTTTGTTTTCTGAGGACCGTGCATCGTGCAAAAAACGGAGTACATCCGCAATCGTGGCAATGCACCCCAAGGTGCCCCGACACAACCTGAGACACATTATTACGATGCTCTCTTAAACGCTCATTTAGACAACGTCCTGTCTGCCCTATGTATCTCCGGCCACAGGACAGGGGAATAGAGTATACAACACCTGAAAACGCATGTAACAAACTGGTTTTGGTGTTTCTTGGTGCACACCTTGTAATAGAGAGACAGGTGTGCACCAAGAAACACCAAAACCAGTTTGGCACTTTACCATCTACCTTCGTCCATAAACTTCGAGATATTACCAACTAAAAAAAAAACGTGCCACCGTAAAAGAAGACGAAAACGAATATATACTGCTCCTCAATGGCCATTGTCACAGTCACGCCCGAAGAAGAGGCTGAGTAGGCCTCGAAACGGGGGGTTGCCAATTAGGGTTTGGTTGACGTCCTTCTTTTCTAATTGTTCAACCCAAACAGAGAGATCTCGGTCGAATGTTCATGCTCAACCGTTTATGTGTGTCTAGAGCTCTCTGGAAACACAATCCATAAAGGCTCAAACATAAATCACTCGACTCTGTCCCGCACTATCCTGGCATAGGCTGTGGTGTCACGGGACGTATTGTCTGTTTGTTTGCGGTGACGTTGCACGGAGCAACCCAGTAAGCATTTTGTTCTTCGAGGGTACGAACGTCGTTGCACCTCATAACATTGAGACCGAAAATACAGCAATCCCTCGTGAACTAAAATTCTGCTATCTCGAAATATCGGTAAAGTTGAAAGATTTCCTTGTCATGGAATGAACTTCCAAAGGCACAATGCATTGGTTCTCTCGAAAAGTTTTCAGGACCTATCTCAAAATCTTGACATGAGAGATATCTCTCGAAAAGTTTTCAGGGCCTATCTCAAAATCTTGGCATTAGAGATAACAAAAAAAGAAAAAGAAAAAATGGGCAGGGCCCAGCAAACAATGGACTGGTGGCCTAAACACTGGTTGACAAGGAAAC